CTTAAGTATCTTCGATTGTTTAAGAAATGAAATTGGGTATTTTTCTCGTTCAAAAATAACAGTCTTCAAAATTTCAATACAATTAAATATACAAAAAGAATCGTAATGCATTGATGGGTTTGACGATATACGTAATTCTAGATTTTTATTTGGTTACGTTTTAAGAAAATAGTACCTATGCTGTTTGACTCAAAAATATTATGACGTCACATTTTTGTCTTTCACACCAAATTAATAGAACAGTTATGTTCTTTATTATTACTAAAGCGTTAGTTGAATAATACCTACATACATAGGCAAATGTTATATTTTTGTTATGTCATATTTTTTACAACTTTAATAATAGGTGCAGTCAACAGTAATCGCAGTTTTCACGATAGGTCCGCTGCCAAATCTCTATACACTTTGTCTGAATTTGAAGGATACCTCTAACTCGTTGCCATTAACATGCAAAGTAAGAACAAAATAAATAATCGCAACTGCAGTGCTACCATTGAAGAACTACAAAGTACTAAGAAATATCCAGTTGTTATTTGGGAACAAGGATGTAGAAATACCTACTAGAAGCGTACAGAAATCCAGAAGGACTTTTTAAAGGGTAAGCATAATCATATAGATACATATGTCGCAACTCGCAAATACAGTTTTTATTATACGTAACCATTCAATATAAACGAACAGTATTGAATGTCCACAAAGTATACTAGAGATATAAATAGGTAATATTTTTTAAGAGCATGATAGCTATGCTTCGGCACAAATGATTCAGCTGGACTGTGAGACCACGGCCGCACAGAAAGACGGTATGAAAAAACCGAGCCGAGTGAGTGAGGTTACCGGAGGCCCAATCCTTCCTCTCCCCAAAAGGCAACGCACTCGTAACTTTTCTGGTGATACGGTTATTCACGGATGGCGCCAATAGCTTACCAACATACTATCACATAAAAAATATAAGCTACCTACACGTGAAAAACCCATTGTGAATAATATCTGTGACTTTATGATCGCATTACATTGAAAAGCTATTTCTCGGTAGTTTTGTTACAATTTGAATTAGTATCGGCATCGAAACGATCGTGGATTATCTTTACAATGCGAGGAGTCATACACTTTGGACTGTAGCCAGATCTTTAGAATTGGTCATGCACCGCGCTCTGTACGAACCATTTCATTTTCTAGCAAGTCGTTTTAATGGTAATCGAATTATAGTAAAGCGTATACCTACATAGTTCTATATGTACTTGCATAAATACCTATGTATTCGCTAATTTTAAAGTATCAGTACTGTGACTGTCATACGATTTGGAAAATCTTTAATTTTATTTAAATGTAAATTGGACTGTCTACTTAGTAGGGTGTGAGGGAGTGTCAGACACTCTCACAACCCTGAATATCAACTCTATTGGACCCTGTCCGTTGTGGTCTGTTGGTTAGCGAGGCGCGTGCGGAACGCTACGCGTAATACGCTCAGATCACCCGTACGGTACGGTAGGGTGGCGCACGATCTCCGACACCCGGAGGAGGTTCTTCTGCAGTGGCTGGGATGTGAAAAGAATAGTTGCTCGCGCGCTCCGCCGCCATTTTTGCGAGTACGGCTATTTTGCAGAAAGGAGAGACTCCCAAATTCCTCTAGCTCCGCACCATAACCTCTTATAAGGACAGGCCGAGGCGCGATCACCTAACATAACGATGTTCAGCCCAAACAGGGCACATTGCCACCATATGCTCCTCCAGCCGGGAATGCGGGGTAAGCGCAATGAGGCACCGCGACCTCGGCCCAGAGCAGCAGAAGGAACAGGGGGGTTTTTAGTCAGTAAGAGTCTCACTCCCTTCCGCCCGGCCCTGGGCGGGAGAAGTCATTTGATGAATTTCACCTCACAAAAAAAACCATATGCTCCACCGTGTCCTCCGAAAGGTCTTTACATTTTGCCCAAGAAAATAACTTCAATCGTTCCCCATTACACAATAAACAAAACATTAAACAAAAAATGTAACCATTACATCACAACATACATGTGTGCATTTCTAGGAATCCCTTAACAAATAAAAGAATCCTGTTTTATTTCACTAAGACACTTCCAGTTATCCCCTATCTTTGTACAAGAATGGCGTAAAACAATCACAGTCGCCTTTGATCTAGACATTTGGTGATCTTAATTTGTTTATACTTAGAAAACGGATGGTCCAGTCTTGGCTCCGGGTAATGTATAATTTATAGTTGTATATAGATACCTTTACAAGCAAATATAGCACTTGTATCGTGAGCGATAACGTTTAAATTAATGGCCGTAGTTTGAATGATTGATGAACGAGGGTTTTTTGAATTAATAGGCTATTATGATTAAAGATTATGAATTTTTATTTATGACTGTGTCTTTACTAAGTAATTATTAATTGGTTCGTTTCCTTTTTTAGTTTACCTTCTGATTTCGGTATTATTTGTTCTCAGGGGACATATTGTGAATCTAAAAAAATGCCCATTTTTCCTAAGACTGTGCAGTGCTTATCTGTAAGAAATTATGACACTAGATAAAGATATATATGCATAAAATTTTCCTATAATTGTCTTGGTGTTAGGAAGTGTTAATAAGCCAATAAAAAAAGACAAATTCGGATATTTCGGATTCAATTTAAATACAAACTTTTACTTGAAGTCCCAAGCACCAAAGTCCCAGCAAGCAAAAGCTGTTGAATGACTTTTTCTATTTAGAAAAAGTCATTCAACGACATTTTCCAGTGATGCGGTGAGAAGGAGTGTCTCTTACTGACTAAAAATCACTTTGTTCCTTCTCGTGCTTAGAGTAGAAGTCGTGTTACATCTAAAATCACGGTTGGAGATTTGGTAGACTCAACTAACTTAAATGGGGCAAGAATGAGACTAATTATGATCGATTGATCACCATTATCGTGATTGTGTACCCTATACATAACTAATGAAAAAAACCCCCCTTATCGCAAATAGCTTAGGTACTATTTTACATCAAAATAATTGAAAACGAATTAACACCATACCAATAATATAATGAAAAGATGTGAATTATATGCAATCAGCCCATTAATACAGGCAAAGTCACAAGCAAATGCTAGTAATATATATATTCAAAATGTAAAAGTAAAGCGCTTTAAAATAATACCAAACACGGTATAATTATCTTTACTTTTTTTTTACTCTGAGTGTTTTGTCCGCTAGAGGACGCAACATTAGATTTTTTGATACCTCATATAGCCTATATACAACCAGCGGACAATTAAGACGTTTCTAATGATATGTCAAATGTCGAATTCTAAAAAGTAGTTTTGAAGTTACAAGGAAAAAGATGAACATACATAGCCTGTCAAAATCATAACCCTCCTTTTGCTTTGCTGTAGTCGGGTAAAAAATAGCAATATGCTCGTTATTTATAAAAGGTTAGTACGTATGATTACTTTTCATTGATAGATAGATGATATTTTGTAGCTGATTTTTATTGCGAGATCCGAGACAGATGTTTGTTTATGTTTATAAGACGTAATGGGCACAACTGTGTCAAATCTATTTTTGGTCGATCGCTACTAAGTACCTACTTGAGATAGATACTATAAGTGTCTACAGTAAGGAAAGTATCAACAGAAGAGAAAAATATAAATTGTTTCAATAGGAATTTGTAAATTCTCTGTTAATACTTTATATTCACAACACTACTTCGAATATGAGAGTCATGCTTCGGCATGAAAGGGTCGGCTAGACCGGAGTGATACAACGGCCTCACAAAAAACCGACGTGAAACAACCACAGCGTTATGTTTCCCCGTGTGAATTAGATTACTGGAACCATATTCCTTTCCCTCCCCTAATACGTAAATCTCCAAAACCCTTATCCCCAAAAGGCCGGCAATGCACTCTTAACTCCTCCGTTGCTGCGTCCATGAGCGGTCCTGATTTATTACTATGAGGTCACAGGCCTGCACGTTTGCCGTACTCTCTTTAAAAAAAAACAGTTACCTATATTATATCTATACTAATATTATAAAGAGGTAAAATTTGTAAGTTGGTATGTTGGGGGTAATCTTTGGAACCACTGGTCTCATTCCCGTAAAACATCACGCTAAAATTAAATGGCGGGAGTAGCTAGTTTATTATACTAACATATAAATATTTAAGTCGTATAGTGAAAACAGAATACACTTGTCACTCAAACTCTTGACGTGGAGGTCTTTGTCCAGACCCAACACAAGATGTACTCTACACACAAAGAAGTAGCACTTCTCTCCGATAGACCTTATTCTTTTAATTTGTGATCTTCTTGCGAATTATATGATCCGTACTGAAGCAGTAATAAAATGCATCTGTCACACCAAGCCAAAGAGGATATATATATGTATAGCAAGCCTTTATATATTGATATTTCTTTTAAAACATCTGAATTAATAAAATTACATCATTTATAACAGAAAACCAACAAACATTCATTCATAAATACAGTTTACACTAAAAATAGAATTCTGATCAGATGAAACTATACGGGCTTTAGTTTGGTATCGTCCGTGAAACGCTTTACAGCGCTTGAAAGAGCTTTCAGCGCGTTAAAAACACAGTGCCAATAAATTAGTGTGGTTTTTGAGTGAGCAATTTATTGCTGTGTTGAATATCGAAAACTGTGATCCGAGTTCTGTGTCTAAGATCTTATTAAAAACAGTTATCAACAGCTTCATTAGAAGTTTTGTTTGTGATTCAGTTTGAGCTTTTTTTTTGTCTTATTCAAATAACATTTTCATTCCTGGGTGTTTAAACCTTAATTTTAAAATTAAATTGAAATAAAGCGTTAAGCAAAAAAATATTAGTTTTTAAATCGAAAAAAATAATACAAAAAAATTGTTATACCCATACTAAAAGTTAATTTCATAAATACATTTATTCCTAACAGTTATTACTTAAAACACAAAAAGTAATAAAAATGACCAAGTACGTTGACGCAAATATGACTTTGTTATAAGTTCGCAAAGTGAACATTTTTAAAAGAAGGATAAGTGATATAAGCTATGGGTTAAGTGAGTGTATAAAGAGTGAATGAATAGGACAGTAAGCAAAATGAAAAGGCGGAAAAAAGACAGCAAGGTCCGCGTTAGGTTCAACATCACGAATGTGGTAAGTATTTAACATCATTCAAAGAAATAAAGAAAGCAACGAGTTTAAATATAATTTTAATTAATAATCAAGTAGAATAAATTATTTGTTTGTAAACATTTCTCACCAACGCCAAAACGACTGTCCAGTATTCCTGAACCGATACGTCCTTCAAACCTTCACGAAACGAGCGTACTCCTTGTTAAAAGGCCGGCAAGGCACCTGTGACTTCTCTGGTGTTGCGGATGTCGATGGGCGGCGCCGATCGCTTACCTGTGTCGTGGGTACATTTACAAACATACAATTTGTTGCCTTTTTTTGAGGGGTGTAAATCATCAAATGGCTTCTCTCGTCCTACTTCATTGTGTGTGACACAATATCAGACTCTTACTGACTAAAAACCACCCCGATCCTTATCTCCTGCTCTAGACCAAGGCCGCAGTGTATTGCGCTTGCACCCGCAACCCAGGCTGAACATCAGTCATATTAGGCCCTATCTGATGAACTGAATGTCTTATCTCTATCACAACATGTTTAAAACAAAGTCGCTTTCTCTGTCCCTTTATGTGTACCTATGTATGCTTAAATCTTTTAAACTAGGCAACGGATTCTGGTGAGGTTTTTATAATACATTGAGTAATTCTGAAGATAACGGTTTATATGTATAAAACATCCATTAAACAGTGGAGTAATAATGTACTAATAGTAGCACCCGTGCGAAACTGGGGAGGTTTGCTAGTATATTATATACGCAAAGCATAAAGTCACGTGTTTGAGCTATATATCTATGTATATTGATACATATAACCTATTGCTTCTATATAAAATGACCTCCCATATCAACAAGATTTGATTCCCTAAAGACAGTCAAAATATGCGACGTAAACAACTTTACATCTTCCAATTACGCTTACCTATGAGTTTGATTACATCATAACTCCAAGGGATTACAAAATTACATTCGAAGAACACCAACTATTTATCAGGAAGTGTTTAGATAGATATGATATATGTGTACCTATCTTTCATTCACATACTCAAAAACGGCCGTGACGATTTTAACGAATGAGCGATAAAACTAACAATTTGATCTAGGTTAGATTAGGTTAGGTTTTATTTCTTAGTAATGTGTACTTCCTAAGTTTATCTAAATACCACTGACTAACGGTGTAGGAACACATTGTGAAGAAACCTTTTTTTTTGTGAGGGGAAAATCATCAAATGGCTTCTCCTGCCCTGGATGGTGATTCCTGCTCCTGCTTTAGACCGAGGCCGCGGTTCCTCATTGCCCTTACCCCGCAACTCGGCTGAACATCAGCCCTGTAGGGCCCCGTCTGTGGTGGTCGATTGGCTTTTTGAGGTCGCTCAGGATTGTAGGAAAACCTGGACTTATAATTTGTAAAGAATTGAAATCGCCAATCTGCCCCAAGTTAGCGTGATGAATAATACTCAAACCTTCTCCGTATATTATGCCATAGCTATGTTGCTATATGCTGTCAAATCCAAAAAAAAAGTCGCTACTTCTTTGTAATGGTTTTCCAATTTCCTTTTTTATATCTCATTTTATATACACGCGAATATCACATGGGCACCGATTACATAGATATATTTTATGACTAGATGCGTCATACTTATAAAAAATGAACATCAAACAAATCTTTTGGATCATCTACAAAGGCATATACATTTATATACAAATATATAATATACTTGTAATATTTATAATGAATCATAGGCCATTAAAACTATCACTGAGAGATTTATCGAAAATAACAAGAGCAATGAAGATAGAGAGACACTTCTACTTATTTATGTCCTTGAACTATTTATTAGTGGGTTACTTATTTATTAGTGTGTATAAGTGCATGTAAGAGTGAGTGAGTAAGACAGATGAAGAGAGAGAAAGAAAGAGAGAGGCGGGTATTATTGGTTACATCCGTGATCTGATCACTTGAAGGTCCAGTTGAAAACCAGCGCCAGGCAATAACCGCCTGGCATCGAAGCTGAACTGGGCCTATTTGTCCAACGCTGAGACACACATCACTGTTTGTTTTTTTTTATTATTTTTGTTTTGATTAATTTGTACTGGTTTTTTTTATCTACTTTTGTATCTGTGTCCAGGTTGTGCAAATAAAATTATTTCTTTCTTTCTTTCTTTCTTTCTTTCTTTCTTTCTTTCTTTCTTTCTTTCTTTCTTTCTTTCTTTCTTTCTTTCTTTCTTTCTTTCTTTCTTTCTTTCTTTCTTTCTTTCTTTCTTTCTTTCTTTCTTTCTTTCTTTCTATTAATATTGAGTTCCTTTACTACAAACTAGCATTGAGTAATGTCTGATCCCGAAAGAAATAACCACAGCGTTGTGTTTTCACCATATGAGTGAGGTTACCGGAGGTCCTGGCCCTGGCTATCCCTTCTTAATTAAATAAAAATCTCTTAAACCCTAATCCCCAAAGGGCTGGCACCGCACAAAACTGAGCTGTTGATGAGCTGCACTGATTGCTTCATCATCATCATCATCATCAGCCTATAAGTGCCCACTGCTAAGCAAAGGCCTCTCACTCGGAGAAGGTTAGAGCATTAATCAGCACGCTTGCTCAATGCGTGTTGGTGATTTCAAACTTATAACTAGAAATTATAAGTCCAGGTTTCCTCACGATGTTTACCTTCACCGTTTGTGAGTGGTGTCTAAATAATCATAGAAAGTACATATAACTCGAAAAAAGTCACATTGGTATTTGCCAGATTCGAACCTACACCCTCATGCATGAGAAGCGGGCTCCTTAACCTCCGGGCCACCACCACAAACTGATTGTGTCATTTTGAGGACGGTAAGATTATCAAATGACTTCTCTTGCCCGTGGGGCGAAAAGGAGTACCAGACTCCTACTGACTGAAAACCATTCCCATTTCTTCTCCTGCTCCAGGCCGCGATACCTTATTACGCTTGCTTCGCAACCCTGGCTGAAAGTGAAAGTATTTTAACTGTCTTCCTTAACGAAAACTATTAAGCTAATTGTTTTCGAAAATACTGGGAAATGGGTCTCCTTTGGGAAAGTTTTCAGCGTCAATTTATAGTTCAGTCGTTCAGACAACGCGTGCATTTTTTTAGGTATTTTGTCGTTTTACTTTTATTATGTTAGGCTCTTTGTTATTGTGAGATAGGCACGGAAACGAGTAGATGATTCTAAAATAGTTACAAATACAATGCCAGCTTTAAAGAATGATAGGCTACAAACCCATTTTCAACCTTATTATTAATGGTATTTAGTGTGAAAATCATCAAAACATTGGTCATATTGAAATAATGGTCCAAAAAACAAAAGCGGGCTGTTGAGCGAGCTTCGGTCGGGAAATTCGGTAGGAAAAAAGGTTAAAGTACCTTAATACCACAAGCAAATGTGTAGATTTTGATGAATGTAAGAGAAGCTAAAGATGTATTTTAGAGTCATGTCATTTATCGTTCCTTTGTCTTTGCATTTCCTAATGGGAGTCGGCCCTACAGTGATTCTGTAAGACTTCATTCTAAACTTCGAATCTGAATCCGCTGTAAGTAGTAGTACACTAGTGCTACACTTGCGACGTTAAAAGTGGCATTTTATAATGTTATTTCCCCGTCACTTCGACGCTCACTTCACACTCAAACAAGATTCAAATCGTCATGCTGATGATGTGCATGTTAATAACTCTTAAAAAACCTTTTTACAAGCTTTAATTTAACTGCAATATTTGTAGGTCTTACGTTTGTGACGGAAACTATTGCAACTAAATTTTAAATCGATTGAGCTGATTTTTTTTTTTGTATACATGTTTAGTTTGCATTGGGCTTTTCTTCATTGTTTTTTTGTCCCAATGGGACACGGACGAGCCAATGTTGTTATCAAGGATACTTTTAGTATTAAAACGTGAAACTTTTCGAATTTAACAATAGAGAATTCCAAAATTTACCTCTTGCCCCACACGGGAATTAATTGCAAGACTATTTGATTAATGACGTGGTCGTAGTAATTAGTTTAATGTAAATTAAAAAGGAAATGCATCGACTCACCGATTCTAAGATAGGGGAGTGCCTTAATGGCGTCGTTTTAACGTTTTAGTAGGTTTTTTTTCTATTTGCTTGCCTTATTGTTAGGGTATGAGTGAGTAATAGGTAGACGAGAGTCTCCAGGTTTGATATCATTTCAAGTTTATTTTTATGTTAATAACGATTTACTAGCTCTCGAAGAGATGTACTAGTTTCAAATCAACACGGGACTATTGCCGACTCTCATTATGGAGTAGCCCTTCTCTTCTGTCCACGGCAAAAACTACATCTTTACCTACTTACAGGGTATAAAAGCGTGATTTCTTTAAATAAATCTATATCTTTACTAAATGCGAAAGTAACTCTGTCTGTCTGTCTTTTCTTCACGCCTTAACTAGTGAACCGATTTCTGTAAAATTTGGTACAGACATAGTTTGGAACTCGAGAAAGAACATAAGATTTATAGATTTTTATACCAAAAATCTGCAGGAAGTAACTATTCCACGCAAACGAAGTCGCGGGCAAAAGCTAGTTTTTAATCATTAATGATTGTACGCTTGACGCGGTGGCTGGGCAACCGGAACAGCTCTTTGGGTGATCCACTAATTGTTGTTATGGGTTTGAGAGTAATTTGTCAGTGAACTTGTAAGTCTATAAGCACATCCACGACACAGTTGTAAATCGCAGTATAGGGCAAAGGGAAAAAAATAAAGAAAAGTTTGCCGGCTGTAAATATATGAAGATGTAATATGAGGTTTAAATTTTACCATGGGAAAAAGTATAAGTATCCCTTACTTAATTGCCGAGTAGAAAAAGCGCAACAACAGTGGCAACATACATAATCTGTAAATATTTTATTTTGTTAATCAAAGTCAAAATCAAAATCATTTATTCCAAATAAACCATATAGAACAGTAGTCTGTCAGTTTGTTCGTCAGTGAAGCTAGGTGCTCGTTCCAAATTTTAGACTGGTACGCTCAAACATCACAGCAAGTTCTATAGCAGC